GCTGCTCCCCTCAGCAGTGTATTTCACTCAGTCTGCCTGTTTTGTTCCCCACTCTGTCTGGTGAATCCTCTCACCCACCATGCCGCTGGCCTGTACCCCAGCTCTTGTATGCATAAATAAATAAATCTTAAAAAAAAAAAGAAAAACACTTACCTGACTCCCTTCTTCCCAGAGACTCATTTCAAATCTCTTTCCATCTAAGAATCCTTTTCTAACCAATGGAGACCTTAGCTGGCTCCTCAACTGCATTCATAAGGCTACAGCACCACCAAATTATTCAAATGTTGCCATGTGACATTTCATTAAGGACAAAGACCTTGCTGTATACTAAGTTTTCCCACAGTATTTGGTATGCTACCTGGCAAACAGCAAGCATTCAATGAATATTTGTGGTTTGATGAGCAGCATGGGTCAACTTTGGATAAAAATGTTAAGCAAAGTTTGACTTAGGTTCCCTACTCCCTTTGGCTGCTTCATCACTGAAACAGCGGTGGACTGTGAGCCTCCTATGAATTGATGACTTTTTCCTTCTCAGCAATTTCTTGATTTTTTTCTCCATCTTCCCAAGTACACTTCATGTGTCATGTGTCCCATCATCATGTTGGCTGATATGCTAAGCTGTTTGATATTTTCCATGAGATTTTTTGTGGTTCCACTGTGTATAGTAAATTTCTTATATTTTATTTCCTGGCAAAGATAGGTTATATATACATAATAGAGGCTCAATACATATTTACGACATAAATGAATGAATTCATGTTGTACCATGTCATAAAAGTCCCTGTTCTCTCTTCAGAAAAAAAATGCAAATTTCCCCAAACCAATTCATGTAACATTGGTCAAGGTGATTTGCCAAATTTATTAATAGGACTAGCAAAACTTTGTAATTTGGACTCAGAATAATAAAAAGTTCTTTGACATTTCCTCCCTTTTTTGGTACTGTTGGTCAATTTAGGTATCTTTCAAGGAACAGTTTGAGTTTCTATAGCTTTACACAAAACTGATGGTTCCTTCTCTGTACCCCAAGTGATACTCTGTATACATGCTTCTCATTAGGGGTGACCAAATAATGTATCATCCGAGTATGGATACAGTTGATAATAAAAGGGTCACAAATAACTACTTACCAAAAATTATGTGTCTTAGGCAAACTAATAAGTATAGTGATACCACTTTGTTGGTTGTTGGGTTTTTTTTTTTGTCATAGTGCTTTGAAAGTAGTTGTCCATTAACTGTGTGTCTTTTGCCATTCAACTGTAAAGCTATTCTAAGTCCAGATCTTATTTTTTAAAAAGATTTATTTATTTATGCATACAAGAACTGGGGTGTAGGCCAGAGGATCAGGGGTTGAGAGGATTCACCAGAGTGTGGAGCAGAGCAGGCAGCTAGATTGAAATACACTGCTAAGGGGAGCAGCAGGCAAGACAGGAGAGGTCTGCTGTGCCCTGTGAGTTAGCTTCCTGTCAGTGGATCAAACTCAGGCTGCATTGGTAATAGTGCTGTGTAAGTCCAGACCTTATTTCTTTTAGCTTCCTTTGTTGCTTAGGACAATGCCTGGCATTTGGTGATGCTAGAAGAAATGTTAGCACTCCTTTCAAAATGTTCATTTAATTGAATATTGTACTATCTTGGTGTAGAACTCAAACTATTCCATTTGGGGCCTATTATGAGTCATTTTCTCAGTACTACAAATATAGTGCAATGAGCGTAATTATATGCTTGTGTAATGATAATAGCTAGCATTTATCAGCACTTACCATGTGCCTGGCCCAGGGCTAAGAACTTTTCTTGAGTTGTCTCATTGATTTCTCACAACAATTCTTGGAGGTAGGTACTGCTATCTCTCCCATAAAATTAGAAGAAAAGACAGGTTTCAGGTCACCCTGTTAATTACACAGAATTTGAATTCCAGACCCTGACTCCATCTACCACCTCCTTTGTGAGAAATATCTGGAATCAAATCTTGGAAAATCATTTGACAATATATCAGTAGCTTACTTGCAGGGAAAATCCATTTGCTTAAAATTTTTAAAGGCAAAATATTTAACTAGTTAAAAGATTGTAGAATCAGGCCAATGTGGCAGCTATGTGAGCTCACAAGTCATCACAGAGCTGCTCAATCCAACATGTTAACAGCTTACCATTGTCCTTGGTGTTAACATTTCCATTTGTTATGGCACAAATGTACATGCCAGTTTTGTTGAGATCATTTTCTTGTTAATGGACTATTAAGTTTTGTACCCTAACAGTTACATACATTTTTATTAGTATTTTCAATGTACATTATATAAATAAGTGATGAACAGTATCTTTTATACTTTGTCCTTTTAGAATAAGATTTTATTCGGTAACAAATGTAAAGACAATACAGACACATGATATATTATTTGGTATTCCTGTAATAAAATTGTAAATCATATTTTGTATAGTTGAAACACAGAGTTGATGCTTTTTAAACAAAAGCAGTCTATTTAGTTTTACAAAAATAATGTAGAATTGGGCCTCCCCGGTGGCGCAGCAGTTGAGCGCTGGGTTGTGAAGCTCCTGCAGCCTCTGCAGCGCCGGTTCGATCCCTGGCTGCTCCCAGGCCACCAGAGGAGGGTCCCACATGGCACGCAGACCTCTGCTGCCCACTGCTCCCCCCAGCAATGTACTTCCGTCCTTCTGCCTGCTCTGCTCCCCGCTCTGGCTCTGGTGAATTCTCTCACCCTCCCGCGCTTCTGACTGTACCCCGTGCCTGTATAAATAAATAAATAAATAAATCTTAAAAATGTAGAATTGTAAGGGATAATGTATAGGTTTAAATTATTTTAAATCGCAAAGGGTAGATTAAATATGTAAGGAGACTATGCTATAAATATAATACAGAGCAAATAATTATGCACACAATTGCCTTTCAATTGAATGGAATTGTCTCCCTAATTGACTTTTTCTACAAACAAGAGAAATTATATGAATAAGTCTTGTAGCTGAAATTAGATATCATCTAGGAATTCAATCACATGATATTTGTTATAAACAAAATATTTAAAAATATGAAAATAAATGTATCATGAATAAATGATAGAAATGTTACAACTTAACTTACATAACACGATCACCAACAGCATTTGTAATTTAAAGGAAGGATTACAAACACATGTATCAAACACAGGAAATTTCTGCTTTTTTAGCCATAGGAAATTTTTAGAATATGCCTTTGAATTTCACATCAGAAAACTTCCTCTAGTGTATCAGGTTATTCTTTTCCAGTGAAATAGGATGCTAGGATATCACTGGTTTAAAAAACTGCATTAAATGTCAAATTATCACTCTATCAGGGCAGCTAGAAAATCAAAATGCTTGTTACCACACAGGCAGGGATTTTATGATTAACTGATAGAGACTGGAACCAAGAGGAAGGTTAAAATAAAAAAAAATGGTTGTTGCCTTGCACTTTTATTATTTCAAGGGATTTAAACTTTTTTCCATTTACTGCAGACTTTTAGGCTACATCAACTGAACAAAAAACACAAAAAACCATCTTCTTTTGGGGTGACAGACTAAAAAAACCCCATAAAATAAACATTATTGGAGACTAGAAGCGTCATGGGAAGAAGAGAAAGAGGACAACCGAGTTAAAATTGAGAAAGGGGATTGGGTGGTTAAAATTGTAAACAGCTGGTCAGGGTAAGCATCATTGAAAAGGTGAGATTGGAACAAGGTGTTGAAGGAGATAAAGGTAGACACGGGAAGAATGTTCCTGTGAAGGGAATCGCTCTCGCCAGCATCTTACGTACTAGTTCGTTTGGAATAGTCAAGAAGGAGAGGTTGGAACTGAAGTCTGAGAGGTAATCTGGAAAAAGGCTTTGTAGGCCATTGTAAAGAAACGAGCTTTCACAATGAACAAATAGGGAGCAAGAGGGGGATTCTCACCAGTTGGGACATAAATTGTCATTATAAGAAGATATTCTGGCTGTGTTGACAGTAAAATGCGTTAAGTGACAGAGGGAACCCACTTAATAGTGAAATACAATGGAGGTCAGGGAAGTTGGAAGGAATGTTGGCGAGAAGTGGTCTGATTCGGGTTTATTTTGATGGTAAAACCAACAGGCATCCTTGACAGATTGAAGGAGAAGGTGAGAACCTAGGGGAGCCAAGAATGAGTTTTCAGCCTGAGCAATTAACCAGAAGGACTGCAGCATGGACTTGAGTTTTTGTTTTTGTCCCCCCTCACCCCCCCGCAATGGAGGACTCCTGAGGTGGTAGAAAACTCATGTTGCGCTATCATAAATCGCGCTGGGGAGACGCACATCACAGTCTGTGGTGTTGTGGGAGTGGAAACTTAGAGTCGGCGTGTTGGAGGGGTGCTGGCTGCTAGATGGCACGCCCCACCGTTTCTGATTTCGAAGACAGATAAAATTCACAGTGACAGGCGTCGCAGATCCAACAGACGAATATTCACTCATTTCAAGCGTCAGGTGGGCGTTCTCAGCCGCGAGTCAGTGAAGGAGGCTTCAACGCTTCTCGGCGCGAAAAAAGCGGCGCCGCAGGGTTGAGCGCGTCCCCCGCCCCAGAGCCGCCAGCCGAGAGCCGCCGGCGGGCCCCGCTCGGCACCGACCCCGCGCGCCCGGGCGGCTCGGCGGCTCCCCTAGCGCGCGGGCCCCGCCTCTCCGCGCGGTGCGGGCAGGGGCGCGAGCTCCGCCGCCCGCCGGTGGTGGGGAGGGCCCCCGCGCGCCCCACCGAGCCCGGCCGCCATCTTCCGGGGTGTCCTTCCCGGCGCGGCCTCCAGCCCCGGCGCTCGGCCCTCCGCGGGGGTCGCGGCGGACGCCCTCGCGGGCGGGCCCGGGGGCGGGGCCGGCGCGGCGGCAGCTGCGCGGCGGCGTCGGGCCCTCCCGGCGCTCTCGGGGCGCGCGCCGCCCCCCGCGCCGCCCCCCGCCCGCCCGCGCGGAGGGAGGAGAGGGGAGGGCGGGGCCAGGAAGCGGCGAGCGCGCCGGGGAGCGCAGCTGCGGGCGTGGGGACGGCAGGAGCCGCGGAGCCGGCGCTGAGAGCGGCTGCGGCCGGAGCGGGCGGCCGAGACAAAGGCGACGGTGAGTGCGGCGCCGGCCTGGGGAGCGCCCCGGGCCCCACGCCTCGCGCTCGCGGCCCCCGGGGTGGGAGCCCGCACCCCCGCACCCCCGCGGCGGAGGGCTCCGGGGCTCGGGCGGCCGGGCCCTGCCTGCCGCGCGCTGCGGGTTGTGGGCTGAGCCTGCGGCTCCATTTTCAGGTTTGGGCGAGGTCCTCGCGCAGACCCTGCCTTTGCTGTGTCTTCCATTCCCTCTGAGGACTGGTTTTCTGCTCCGTTGAGAATTCACGGCAGGCGGGAGGCTGAGGAAGCCAACCGCCCGCCAGAGGTAAAATGGACTTGAGGACCCCTCCCCCCCAACTTTGCAGGTCTGGAAGTCTGAAGGGTGGCGCGAGGGAGGGCGGCGAGGGCCGGGGTGGTCCAGGTGAGGGTCCAGGAACCCCCGCCTCGGGAGCCCAGCCCGGCGTCTCGCCTCAGGTGCCCGGCGGTTTCGCCCGAGGGTCTCGTGGAGGTTCTTTTGGGCCCCGCGGAGAAAGCCCAGACCACCACCTCGGAGGAGCTCGTGCTACTCTTACAGGTTGTTTCACCCCGCTTTTGCTGCTGTAGTTGTGATTTTTTTGGGTAACGGGTGTGGTAGGTAGCGGCTCACGGATGCCGCACCAAGAGCTGAAAAGGAGCCCCGATGGGTGACTTCATCTGTGTAGGAAACAACACAGGGATTCTTCTTTACCTGTTGTTATTTTAAATGATAAGCTTTTACAGGGGAATTGCTGATGTTCAGTTGACCAAACTTAAACGTTTTGTCAAAGGGTCTGGCATATATAGATGCCCAGTTAAAATATTTCAGTGAATGAATGAATCTTGAAAACAGACGTTTAGGCATCTAACTTTTTGACTCAGAGGAAAAAAATGGGCAAACAAGATGTAGGTTTTGTTTACGAGGTTTTTTGTTGTTCCTGCCTAACGCACGCATACCGTTGATGGAAAAAAAAAATCACTTGTTGTTACCAAAATTTTGAGCATATAAAATAGGAAGGGTGGGATTTTTTTAATTTTGAGAAAGAGTGGTGAGTATTTTCTGTTTCCTCAAAATAAGCCGTATTTTAAATTTTCTTTCATATGAATGGAGAAGATAGAGAAGACTTGCAGGGATTCTGTTTTGTTCTTTTGGGGCCCAACTTTCTGTTTCATTATGGATTAGGAGTTTGTTTTTTGAGAGATGGTGGTAAGGTCTTGAGCTGCTTTTTGAGCATGGGAGAACTCTAAACTTAGGAGAGAAAGAATTGATGTTGCACTAATATAATTAAATCTCACCATTTACTCAACGTACTCATTAAGCACAGTTATGTTCTGGGACCAGTGTTGGATGCTGAGTTTCTAGGGGTGAATAAAATCTGCAATTACCCTTTCTTAAACTTGAGCGTGAAATTCTTTATTATGGATGTTGGAAATGGGAATTGCTTTATGCTCCTGCGTGCCTCCTAATGTTGGGAAAGATGGCAGGTGAATTGCAGGAAATGTAGACCCGTAAGTCTATTTAAAAGTTAATAAGTAACTTTATAAGGCCTAGATCAGTAGGTTACATTTCATATTGTCAGTTTAATAAACTGCATTTTGAAATGAAGGGAGAACTAGGTTTAGCACAATAGTTTTTGGTTTTTTTAATCTTGCTTTTTATTCTTACATAGTATTGGTACAGCTTAGTTGTTGAATAGTGCGTTTCTGATTGTTTCCTGTAAATTTGCTGTAGAACCTTTTCTATTTTCAAAAAAACTCCAAGAAGAAACTGGATTATTTTTCCATACTATTTTTTTAATAAGTCACCTTTTCAGAAATTTTATTTTGGCCTTTTTTTTTTTTTTAACCATTTACAAATACAGTATTGATAGTGCTGAGGAGGGAAGGATTATTTGTAATGATTTGTGGTTCCATATTTGCACTTTCTCTTTAGTATTGCAACTGATAAGACTGCTTACTAAAGAGGATGAGATTTGTAGAATTGCATTTATTACTTTTAAACATAAGGTTTGCATTGTCTATTTTACCTTAATTACGTAAGATAAAAACAGGTATTTTATTTGACCTCTTCAGAAGTCCTGTGCACCAAAGTTAATACTGATTATTAGAAAATAACTCTTTTTTACCAGATGCCTTTTTAATTTACATGGGCCCTTTTAACTTACCAATATTTGTAACGCCTTACGCATTGTTCAAGAGAATGTATGCATTCAGATAGAAGTTTGAGGTTTTAGGCTTGTTGACTATTAGGGTTTTTTTAAATGGGTTTTCCTAGGCATATGACAAACAGTCCCTAAAATTTTAGCATTGGAGAGTTGTGATACTTTTTCTTTACATGTATATTTCTTGTAATAAGAATTATTTGACAACATAGCCTGGTTATCTTTATGATCTGGTGTTTATGAGGAACCTGGTAGTAAATGATAGTAGTGATGATAAAGACAGTGCAAGCAAACAGTGCTATGTCGAATAAGAAATGTTTGGCATATTTTATTTGGATAAGAACTTTATCAGTAATCCTGACAATCAACAGCATTGAGAGAAGTTACAATATTTTTTCCAAGTGATATGAATCTGCAATGACTGTTTTTGTCCCATACATCTTAATACTGTATATTCAAAGTATTCCTCCTGTGGAATGGTTTGTAATGTTTTGAGGTTAAATTCCAGTATCATCCCATTTTATAATGGTTGGGATATTAAATATTGGTGCTTTCAACAGAGTTTGTGTGTTTTGGGATAAGTTCCTTTTTTTGTAAGACCATTTAGAATGATTCAGAAAGCATTTCCTTGATCAGATATAATTAATAAAGTGATTAAGAAGGCTGCTGCAAGGCCCTCTTGCAGCTGTGGACAGACTAGAGGGTGAGAGATTACCAATTAGCATTTGTGTAAAATGTTTCCAAAGTGCTTTATAACTAATTCCTCACATTTATTCTCAGGGATAAGTTGCTATTATGTTTTTATATTCCACTTGTCTTTTTTTTAATCATGAAAGTGTTTCAGTTTCTCATCCTCTTAGAGTGAGTCTGGAATATTTTGTTAAGACTTTATAAGGTTTTTCTCACAAATACAAATGTATATTGGTTTTGAGCTGTTGCAGTGTTCTTAATCTCAGTTCTCATCAGAAAAATATTTTAACAATTTATTGAATGTTAAATGTTGGTAGTGTTTTTAGATCTGTCTCAGAGAGGTACATTATGGGTTCCTTGGTGGTATGTGAGAGAAACTAAGTGAAATGTGCTTCTCCTTAATACTTACTAGTTAGGTGAGGGTATTTATTTTAATGTTTTTTTCTTTTTTTTTCCCATGCTATGTGGAAAAACCAGGTTACCATCTTAGAATTTAGCATGTTAATAATTTACTTTATACATACTGCTAACTCAGTCAAAGCTTGCGTATACTGAACCTTTCTATAATACTGACCAAATAATCAACAGAGGAGGCTTTAACTGAAACTGCTCTGGGACTCCATCCAAAGGAAGTTTCTGAATTGAAAACCAGAAGAGTTGGTAATAAGTTATCTTTATCATGACACAGTAAAATACCTATAAATGCATTTTATTCTAAATGGATTATAGTAAAACAATCTCCCTCTTTTTCTTAGAACACATTAGATAATTGTTAAATTTAGGTGACTTTGAAAAGGACTAAATGATGAACACTAATACTTCCATTTTCTGGCTACCCGCTTAGAATTTATGCTAATATTTCTTACTAAAGCTTTCAATTTTTGTAAGCATCTCATACTAAAAGTTATTGTTTCATTTGACTTCACATTTTGCTTAATAAAGCAAAAATGAATTTTTTGTATATTCAACGTTGTGTATTTTTTTTTTTTTTTATAGAGGCATGCTTTATTTATTTGTTTGCTGGTTTGTTTGTTTGTTTTGTTTATACGTGCACTGGGTACAGTCAGAAGCGCGGTAGGGCGAGAGAATTCACCAGAGCCAGAGCGGGAAGCAGAGCAGGCAGAAGGACCGAAGTACACTGCTGAGGGGAGCAGCGGGCGGCAGGAGAGGTCTGCGCGCCATGTGGGACCCTCCTCTGGTGGCCGGGGAGCAGCCGGGGATCGAACCGGCGCCGCAGAGGCCGCGCGCAGCTTCCCAACCCAGCGCTCAACCGCTGCGCCACTGGGGAGGCCCAACATTGTGTATATTTATGGAATTTGGGATGGTCAGTGAATGGGAGCTGAGAAGATTTAGGAAAAATTTGACTGTTTACTTTCAAAACCCTCCCTATAGATTTTTTTTTTTTAAAGATTTATTTATGTATCTAAGAACTGGGGTAGAGGCCAGAGGTGTAGGGGGTGAGAGGATCCACCAGAGACAGAGTGGGGAACAGAACAGGCAGATTGACCGAAATATACTGCTGAGGGGAGCAGTGGGTGAGTCAGAGTTCTGCTGTGCCATGTGGGTTGCTCCCTGGCCAGGTTTCGAACTCATGGCTGCAGATAGCTTCATAGGTTGCGTTGTAACCCCTGTGCCTCAGGGAGGCCCTCCCTATAGATTGTTTTTCCCTTCTATATGACCTCTTAGAAAAAACCAGGTAGCTTTTATAGATACTTTTAAGTAATAAGTTTTCTGCTCACTTGTCAATAACAGTTATTTTAGTCATCAGATGATAGAGTTCATTGTGATAAGTTTTCGAAGTCTTCTGTTATTTAAAATATTTCTTTCCTAGATCATTCCCTGCTTCAGGTCTAGAAGCTTTCAGATGAAGGGTCCCAGCTGATTTCTCTTTGTACATGGGCACTCCTCTTTCCCTATACTATCCTATCCTCACCTGTTTTGGGTAAAACTCAGTGGGGAAAGGAGACTTAGGGAACGGTATAGTTTTGTTTTGTTTTGTTTTTGTGTGTGTGGGACCCTCTGCGGAGGCCTCGCAGCCCAGCACTCAACCGCTGTGCCACCAGGGGAGGCCCGGGAATGGTATAGTTTTAATGTGACTCATCCTAATGTTATCTGGCATTGATGCCTTCTGAGTTGAGCAGGTTGTTCACAGCTG